GGTTGTTGTTCAGCGGGTTGTCCTTGTGGTGCAGGTTGTTGTTCAGCGGGTTGTCCTTGTGGTGCAGGTTGTTGTTCAGCGGGTTGGCCCTTGTGGTGCAGGTTGTTGTTCAGCGGGTTGGCCCGGGGGCGCAGGTTGTTGTTCAGCAGGTTGGCCTTGTGCAGCACCTTCTTTTGGAGCTTCCTTTGGTTGTTCAGCTGGTGCAGTTGGCTCTTCTTTTGGCTTGTCCCCTGGTGTTGGTTCTTCTTTTGGCTTGTCCCCTGGTGCTGGTTCTTCTTTCGGCTTGTCACCTGGTGCTGGTTCTTCTTTCGGCTTGTCAGCTGGTGCTGGTTCTTCTTTTGGCTTCTCGCCAGGTGCTGGTTCTTCTTTTGGCTTGTCACCTGAGGGAGCTTCTTCCTTTGGCTTCTCAGCCGTACCGAGCTCTTCTTTCGGTTTATCAGCTGGAGGGGCAGCTGCTTGTGACTGACCCGGCTCTACATCTGCTTCTTTATCTGGATCAGTAGGCTCTTTTGGAGCTTCCACCTCCCGATTGTGCTTGAGCTGGTGCCGCAGGTTGTTGTTCAGCGGGTTGTCCTTGTGGTGCAGGTTGTTGTTCAGCGGGTTGGCCTGGGGGCGCAGGTTGTTGTTCAGCGGGTTGGCCCGGGGGCGCAGGTTGTTGTTCAGCAGGTTGGCCTTGTTCAGCTCCTTGTTTCGGAGCCTCTGGTTGTTGTGGTGCCTGAGTTTCTTCTTTCGGCTTGCCTTGAGGAGCAGAACCTTCTTTCTGCTGTTCTGCAGCCGGCCCCTGCAATAGCATTATCATCCAAACAACCTACTTCTCTATGTACGTGGAGTCTTGCGGCAAAAAAAAACCGCAACTACTCTTCAGACTAACTCGCTTTCTCACCTAGCTTCAGGGCATTAACGAGAATAGTGGCAAAAATGGTGCTGTTTACCTTTGCTTATGTCAATCAAACCCGGGGTTGCCGTTCATTTCGCTTCTTGATATACTCGTCCTTCGAATGCTCAGTATTTCCTAATCTGCGATTGCCCACAAGTCAAATTAGTGAGGTAAACTATTTCGAATCTAGTGGACTGCATTTGGGCACATTAACTTATATAAAAAGACTCCGCGGTTTTTCCGTAGATTGAACGAAGATTTTTTTACTGGAAATTGTTTTCAGTCAAGTTCATATTGACCATTGTTATCTTTGAACTTTTGCCATTTGTTTGGTAATTCCATACTTCTATTGGTATAGCTTTCCTGTTTTGTTGGCAAAAAATGGTCAACTGATCTTCAGCGGCGCACAGGACACCTAATTTCTTACGATCATGGGGGTTTTGTAGAGATCGAAGCGTATGATAGTCAGACGGTGCAAGGTCCGGTGTGTGCGGTGGATGCATCCAAACTTTCCAACCAAGTCTCGTCATTTTATTCAATGTGTGTGGTCGCGCATTGTCGTCTAGCAAACTAGGAATCTAGCAAACCTCTCCTGGGTCCTTCGTTCACTAATAGCATTTTGCTGTACACTTCACAGGTTTTTTGGCTATTCTTGCAGCGCTTTTGCCTTTTTTTATAGTAAGGAAGCATCGCATACCGTATTTCTTCAGCTATTTCGCTCACTTTCAAATCAGTAGCAGTTTCTACGCGAGCAGCGACTTAGATAATCATGAAATGAAATGTCAATCATTATTATTTGGCAAAAATGTGAGCTGAAATGTTATTTTTGAGGATGAGTTGTTCGAGACAAGCGGGTGAGTGTAGCCCGGGATGAGGTATCAGAACTAGCTTGTGACGAAAAACCACGGAGACCTTTTATAAAATCCAATAATAATTGAACAACTAATCTTGCGCCCTTATATTGGCCTTTCGAGTGGAGAAAGCGGTACATTCTTCCGTCTTTTCTTCTACACCTAGTCTTTCCGGTCCGTGTATAGAACGCATTGTTCTTTTTAGCTCTCAGCAGAGTGTAAACGTAGTTAGAAAACTGAGTTGTGAACAACAATTCGTAGATTCGATTAACTTACTTTCTGGATGGAGTCCTCAATTTCTTTGGCAGTGTGCACATCTTCATCGGGCTGTAATAAAATAGAGTTCGATTTTGAGTACGGTGTTGGCGTGTTAATCTGATATGAATAACTGATATGAATAACATTGGAAAATGGTAAAAAAAATGGTGCGGTCCGGAAAACGGTTCTGTATGGAAAGCGAAGCAACAGTCCGGAAAACGACTCTATATAATCTTGATTTGAGGCGTGCTGGTATCGCAAAGAACACCTATCACGGTGCGCCACTTAAACCGAGCTGCGCTCACACGTGAGCTCACTTCCAAGTTCAGACCGCCATTAGACGTGATTGCTGATCCAAGTACTTGGACTTTGTTGTGTGTGTTTACCACTGCCACTGTTCCCAGGGGAACCAGACTCGATCGAGTCGGTTGCCCTTTACTCGGTTTCCTTGACGTTAACCTAGTTCGATGTTTGTTCTCGTACAAGCCTGCCCTTGGTGATCGAGTTTCTTCCCCTTCGCACTGTTACCGAGCTCACAGCGTGGAAATGCCGAGAAGTCGGTTTGGAGGTCCGGCAGATGAATCATGACGATAACGAGAGAAGTGGGGGAAGGGGTACCTTTTTACCAGTTCGGAGGGTGTGTGTGTGCATTGGTGTGTGTGTGTGTGTGTGTGTGTGTGTGTGTGTGTGTGTGTGTGTGTGTGTGTGTGTGGGTGGGTGAGCGGGTGTGAATGATAAGTGCTGATAAGTGGTGTTAGAAGAGGTGTGTCACCATAGCATAGCGCGTATCACAGCAGTAGTGGGGCTCTGATTCCTCCAAGTAAGGAATGTTGGAAGGGGAGGAGCAGTAAATCCATCGCGGGCGCCGCATCAATTGTGTGTTTTCAGGAAGTGGATATAGGGACTGGGAGAGGAACATTGTCGGATTGACAGAAAGTAACATGAACCAATAAGAGCTGATAAGGAGTAGAAAAAAAACACAGACTCCACACTGCGCGGCACAGCAACAGTGGAAACGTTGGTTTCATCGAGTGGTTCAGTGGTAGGGCCCAAGAGTCACAGAAAATCGCATCAAATGACATTTGCTGATAAAATTTATTGATGGAGCGTAAGCGCCACGAATTTATGGCGAGCTTCACATTAACAATGGGACGTTGGATCCAGTAAGTTTAACGGATGGAATAGGGACATCAATAATGAACGATCAGTTGTTACATTGTTGCCTATAAAGGCAGATGAGAGCCTGTCTCTGCTTCGTCTTCACCCTCCTTACCAATGACTAGTCGAATCGTCCAGCTTCCTTCGGGCACTCTTCCTTCTTGTGTGCCGACCCGACTGCTTCGCCGGGTTGGGTCGGCCTAGCCTCATCTTTTCGGCGAATTAGAATGTTATAATGTGTCAAAATCATAAGGCGATTCTAGATGGAAATATAAAAAGAAAAAATGTAAGCGGCTCCATATCAGATTCTGGCTTGAGCCGTCCAAGATTTTTCTTAATCTTGGCAAGCTGATTTCAGATTAGTAGTTGGCTCGAGCCGTCCAAGAGTTAGCCGTTTCCCTTAATCTTGGCATAACTGTGATTTCAAATTGGTGGTTATCTCGAGGCTGTTCCGAACACCTCGAGCTAGCTACTAATCTGGAATCACAATTACGCCAATTTAGAAAATGTCGTCCCCGGTCGAGCTTCATATCGCTCACATCAAATCCCTCTACCTAGTTACTGTCTTCCCTATAATCTTCTCGAGAAGACTGCATCTTCAGTTGTGACCGTTGTATCGCATCGCAAGGGTGCCTCACATGAGAAACGTGCCATTCGTTTGACAACATATCTTCATCCAGAGCTCCTTCCCTTTCTTCTTTCAGATTAATTGCGACCGACCTCTTCTGGCGCATTACCGTTGTTTTAAAACGAAGTGCAGTTGGTTTCCATGGCTTCCACAAAAATAGCTGAGTTTTCCCGTTCCAAGAGCACGATATACCCTTCCCCCGTCAAAGTCACTCACTAGGTATGGGGGCAGATTCTTTCTCCAGATAGCCTCAGCGCGCTCGATTTCGATCTTCTCGATGCCTCCCATATCTCAGTGGATAAGGGAGCTAGCATAAAGCACTGAGCAATTTGCTGGTATTTTTGAAGCTACAGAGGCAGCAGTATGGACTCAAAACATGTAGTAAAAATAGCCATTTTTTTCATTCTCATCAACTATTATCACTACTTATCATCAAAGTCCGTACCCTGAACTAAAGCGACAATCCGAGGAAACTCCTACTGCACATTGTGGGAGCGGGGTTTCTTAGTTCTTTCACTCTAACAGGGTTTTCTCCATTTTTGGTGGCCCTTCAATATACCTTATTCGAGTCTCCTGGAAGCGGTCCTTGTGCTCCTCCTTCTTTTGCCTTCTCTGCTGGCTGTGCAGCTGCACCAGCGCCTTCCTGTGCTGAGGACGGTCCCTTGGAAAAAAAAGTTATTTCTGTATTACAGATATTTTTACGAAAGGATAACAACACAAAAACCAGGCTTACACATATTCCACGACATTACTTACCGTTCGACTAGAATCCTCGATTTCTTTTGCGGTGTGAACATCCTCTTCCGGCTGCAACTTTAAACACCTTTGCTAGAGTTATGTGACCGTTCATGAACAGTATTGAAGGTAACTCTGTTACTCGATAAGAACTAAAGCGACAATCCGAGGAAACTCCTACTGCACATTGTGGGAGCGGGGTTTCTTAGTTCTTTCACTCTAACAGGGTTTTCTCCATTTTTGGTGGCCCTTCAATATACCTTATTCGAGTCTCCTGGAAGCGGTCCTTGTGCTCCTCCTTCTTTTGCCTTTCTCTGCTGGCTGTGCAGCTGCACCAGCGCCTTCCTGTGCTGAGGACGGTCCCTTGGAAAAAAAAGTTATTTCTGTATTACAGATATTTTTACGAAAGGATAACAACCCAAAAAGACTAGGCTTCCACACATTCCAAAACAATACTTACCGTTCGACTGGTATCTTCGATCTCTTTAGCAGTGTGTACATCTTCCTCTGGCTGAAAGAAAGATCAGTCCCAATGAGAGCATGTTATTAAAGCAACGAATGGTTTCAAAACAATTCCCATTACAGATATTTTAACAACACAAAAACCAGGCTTACACATATTCCACGACATTACTTACCGTTCGACTAGAATCCTCGATTTCTTTTGCGGTGTGAACATCCTCTTCCGGCTGCAACTTTAAACACCTTTGCTAGAGTTATGTGACCGTTCATGAACAGTATTGAAGGTAACTCTGTTACTCGATAAGAACTAAAGCGACAATCCGAGGAAACTCCTACTGCACATTGTGGGAGCGGGGTTTCTTAGTTCTTTCACTCTAACAGGGTTTTCTCCATTTTTGGTGGCCCTTCAATATACCTTATTCGAGTCTCCTGGAAGCGGTCCTTGTGCTCCTCCTTCTTTTGCCTTCTCTGCTGGCTGTGCAGCTGCACCAGCGCCTTCCTGTGCTGAGGACGGTCCCTTGGAAAAAAAAGTTATTTCTGTATTACAGATATTTTTACGAAAGGATAACAACACAAAAAACCAGGCTTACACACATTCCAAAACAATACTTACCGTTCGACTGGTATCTTCGATCTCTTTAGCAGTGTGTACATCTTCCTCTGGCTGAAAGAAAGATCAGTCCCAATGAGAGCATGTTATTAAAGCAACGAATGGTTTCAAAACAATTCCCTTTCTCTTGAGAGATAACGGATAGCAAAGGCACAGTCAAAACTCAACTCAGGTCTTCTTTTATAGAGATAATAATTGGCTCGCATTGGAGAAAACGCGAGCACGACTCGTCGCTGATATATACCATTTTCACTTCGAATTCACCTCTTTTTCAAACCAAATTCACCCCTTTTCAAACCAAATTCACCCACCTTCCGAATCGAATTCACCACTTATTAGGCTGCGCAATTCATCAACCAAATCACGCCAGACACTACTGCGGGCCCCGCCCCTCGGCCACGCCCACTTGCTTTTTGCGGAATTTTGATATTTTTTCAAAATTTTGCATTTTTGGACTGCTACGTGAAGCCCCGCCCACTGTGAGAGGCTCCGCCCACTTTGGAGAAGCCCCGCCCACTTTTCAAAAATGTGCAATCGGCAGTATAGGGTCTTGGCTTTCATGCTAGGGTCTCGTTCGTCACTCGGAACAAGAAAATCAGGCAAAGTTTGTTCCGAATGATCAGCAATACCCTAGCATGCCAGCCGAGACTATGCCCGATTTGCACCATTTTTGAAAGTGGGCGGGGCTTCTCCAAAGTGGGCGGAGCCTCTCACAGTGGGCGGGGCTTCACGTAGCAGTCCAAAAATGCAAAAATTTTGAAAAAATATCAAAATTCCGCAAAAAGCAAGTGGGCGTGGCCGAGGGGGCGGGGCCCGCAGTAGTGTCTGGCGTGATTTGGTTGATGAATTGCGCAGCCTAATAAGTGTGGTGAATTCGATTCGGAAGGTGGGTGAATGAATTCGATTTGAAGGTGGGTGAATTTGGTTTGAAAAGGGTGAATTTGGTTTGAAAAGGGGTGAATTTGGTTTGAAAAGGGTGAATTTGGTTTGAAAAGGGTGAATTTGGTTTGAAAAGGGTGAATTTAAAGTGAAAATGGTATATAACCAGTTTGGCTGGCGCACAGTACTACGTCCAGACGTGATAAAGCAATGCGAAGCTGCTTTACTGAATACTTTACTGACGATTGATGCCAACTTCTATTTATCGATAGTCGTAAAAAAATCAATGCAACAATATGAGAGAGAGAGTGGGAGCTATCAAAATCCTCGCGAATGTCGGCCGGTGCTCATTGTCACATACATCAACCGGGGGGCTCCTACAGAATTCACCCCCGACAGCTTATCCTCCCACTGTACCATTGACCTCGATGACCTCTAGCAGTCCTACAATTTTAAAGCAATATGCCTCTCCTAAAATATTATTTTTGTTCAGAACACAGTAGCAAGCGTTTTCTTTTCGACTGGAGATATTTGTGATTTTCACCGTTTCACGCGCACTGTATGCCTCCTCCTGCTCAACAGTAAAGGATTGAGTTATTGAATGTTACTTTAGTCTGCAATACCCAATACATAGAAGTACAGTAACAAGGAATGAAGTAAAGGTAACCCCTTATCCAACCCATCAACTGTGATGATCGCCTGTCACCTGTCACCGATGTCCCAATGTCCATATCAGTTACCCTTTGGTAGTGAACAACGTACAAACTTACGAAGTTAAGGAGGAATGACGGCGGCAACGCCTTTTATCAGCCCCTCAATTGCTATCCATCTCTGTCATCCATCAGTAATATCCCCGTCACATCCCCTATATCAACTGTTGGAACCAACTTCTCACTTATCACGGTGGGCGTCATGAATCAGACGACGTTTGATTCTAATCCCTATTATCGGATCTTATCAGTACCTTTCAGTTTCTGTTACCCACGAATAGTGTTCCTGCCCTATGCCCTATATCACTTCCTGGAGTCGCACCATTGCTGGGACATGCGCTATGAATTCTCGACCCTTCCTTTCTTGCGCTCCATGTCAGTTGTTGTCACTTCCTGTCACCCACCAATAATTTTCCAGTCACACCAGTATATCACTTATCAAGTTGAACTTTCTATGTCTGAATCAAAGAAAGCTATGAATTTCCGGTCAAACACAACACCTACAGCAACATACACACTTAGCGAAATAATCCTTACATTCTATAAACCACTAACTCTGTGTGTCGGTTTGTCGGTATGTATGTATGTATGTCTGTCCGTCCGCAAAATGCTTCACAGTTTCGAACACGTTAGGTAGAGGAGAATACGGCCGCTAGGACAAACCTGGAAACCGGTTGGTGCAGATGTATCAATCCAATGTTTTGATTGTGATAACAGCCTCCACTATATAAGACAACCATTCGGTACACTCCGAGCCATTGCACGAGCTGCTCGCGTGGCAGCTGGACGTGAGATCGTGCGGGGCCAGGGTGGAGGGGAGGGAGTAGTGTGTAACCTCTGCCGTGCTTCCCTTCCCTGTACCTGCTTAGCCGGACTCGGGAACCTGTAGGTGAGGGAGAACGAGGGAAGAAGGCCGCGCGAAGGGGTGCGGTGAAGGGGTCGCAGCGCACGCTTGAGTAGGTACACTGCTCGCGTGCAGCTGGACGGACTGGACGTGAGCTCGCGCGCGAGTTGCTCCACCTATTACAATTCGATCAAAACAGTGCAGTCTGAGCAGCTAAGTGAATGAGCAAATTCTGTTCCCATTATAAAGTGCACTTGGCAAAGCCAACCGAGCTAAAGAAAGGAGGAGAGCTCGGCGTCAGCCGGGCGATCCGACTGGTATCCTTCTATTCTATAAACCACTAACTCTGTGTGTCGGTTTGTCGGTATGTATGTATGTATGTATGTATGTCTGTCCGTCCGCAAAATGTTTCTTGGGTTCGAACCGTTAGTGTTAGGAGAATAACCCCTAGAACGGCCGCCAGACAAACCAGAAACTGATTGGTGCAGATGTATCAAAATGTTTTGATTGTGATAACGCTACATAAGACACTCATTTGGTACACTCCGAGCCACTGCACGAGCTACTCGCAGCTGGACGTGTGCTCGAGCGGGGGCACGTCGGGTTGAGGGGGGGGGGGTATTAAGTGGCCCCTCCCTCTGCTTCCCCCTGCACATGCTCAGCTAGAACTGAGCACGTGCAGGGACGGAGGTAGGAGGAAGAGGGTGGGAAGGGTGTGCAGTGGGCGAAGGAAGGGGATGCGTAGCGCACGCTTGAGTGCACGCAGCAAGAGAAGAGGATACAACCGCTAGCAAAAGTGCAAGCTAATCCATAATAAAGTAACAAACTAAGATGTCGGTTTGATTGTGATAATACCTTCAACTACATAAGAAAACCATTTAGTACACTCCAAGCCATCACACAAGCTGCGTGGCAGCTGGGCGTGCGGGGTGGGTGGTCGGGTGGAAGGGACGGAATAGCATGTAACCTCTCCTCCTGCTTCCCAGCCCTATACTTGCTCTATAGGAACTGTGAACATGCAGGCGAGAGAGACCGGGGGTCTGGTGAAGGCGGTACGTTGGGAGGGGGGTTCGTAGCGTACGCTTGAGTAGGAGCACGCAGCAAGCTGCTCGCGTGGCAGCTGGACGTGAGCTCGTGCGTGGGTTGCTCCATCTATTACGATTCGATCAAAACAGCGCAGTATGAGCAGCTAAGTGAGTGAGCAAATTCCGTTTCCATCATGAAGTGCGCCTGGCGAAGCCAAGCCAGCTAAAGAGAAGGAGGAGAGCTCGGTATGAGCCGGGCGATCCGACTGGTTGTGGGTCAATTTCCAGTGCTTGGGCTACTTAGCTTGCTTCCTTCATTCCTCCTTCTATCCTGCTGCTTCTCCTGGTGCACTTTATGATCTGTGCGGTTTACCGGTTGACCAATTTGGCTGACGCACATACTGCGCGCATGGTTACACCTATGGCGCTAATCACGTCAGAACTTCTCTGCTGACCACAAACACTTGGTCTGATAACCATGTTTCGAAATACGGCCCGTTTCAATACATTTCGTTTTTGAAATGTGCCAAAGTCAGGTGCTTATCACATTTCCAAAACCACCCACCATTCGTTGGAAATAGGACAGCATAGAAGTTGGAAGTGTTGCAATGGTCACAATATCGAAATCGTAGTGAAATGTCCTTACATCCCAGTACTTCCGTTGAGCAGCTTTTACATATACGTCTGTTGGTGGCTCTTATCATTCCTCACTGGCGAACAACTTTAGGCTCTTACTACACGAGAATTAGCGGTCGAATCAATTCCGAGTACAAGGCTGAAGGATAGAGACATCTTGGCTCATTAAGCTTTTGCCCATTGATTCCTGGGCCACGGTGGTCAACGTCAGTCGCAAGCGGGGTAAAGATGCGAACAAATATTGACCCTTGTCAGGCTATATCACAGCTTATCCACCAATATTCCCTAACCATCTCTGAATTGCTTGCTGGAGGCAATTCCCAGAATTTCTACCACCGTGCATTGAATTTTGGGGGCTTCCTCTCTGAAGTGGTCCCTATGGTATCTTATCAGCTGTTATCACTTCCTGCCACCCACCAATAATGTTCCCATCCTGCCCCCTATCCCACTTTTTGGGGTCAACGTCCCGTAGTTGCTGTAGCCAGCGCTATAAACTTGACCCTTCCTTTGGAGGGCTCCTTAAGGTATCTCATTAGCTCTTATCACTTCTTGCCACGTACCACAAGCTCTACCACAAAAGTATTGAAAGCCAACAAAGTCTGTGTCTTCAGTCACGATGTCAAGCGTGTGTGTTCACCTCACCTGTACCACCTGTGCTCCCTTTGATCATCGAGTTCCTCGAGTCTCGTCCCGATTCGTACTCGTAACGTGGTAGAGTTGCCCAATGAGTTCTGTCTGCTCGAGGGACACGATGAACTTCATACCATTCGTTCAGAGCTTTCACGAAGAAGTCTGACCATCGCGTAGGCGGTCGTCCAGGCGTTCGCTTGACATCCCGTGGAATCCAGTCGGTGATTGCTCTGGTCCAGCGGTCGTCCTCGAAACGCATGAC